ATTGGGGGTTCTGGTAAACTGTAGTCAGTCGTCGAGAGTTAACGTTGTGAATGACACTATTATTCTATTATTTTGTTCCGTCGTGTGCAAGTGTTCGGGCGCCCCTGGTCAAACGACGTGTTCTGTTTATTTTAGTGAAAATATGTACACATCCTCTCCAGAAAACACAGTTTAATGTACAATTACTGCTTATTTGCTCTGATTGAACATATTGGGTGGGGGTAAAATGAAAATAAGCCTGTGCAAAAGTTACAGCACATTTTATATTTTTCGTTTTTTCCCAGTATGTTAAACTCAAATTACCCAATATGTTAGTGTCAAATAAATAGAATTTGCGCACTACAATTTGCATAAAAATGCCATGTTTAACTTTATTCCCTGTAGATTATGTGTTATCTTATGTATACAGTGCCCTTTAAAAGTCTTAGTCAGCCAAGTACAGAAGTATTTTAGTATTTTTTAAATGTATTTCAGCGATAAGTGTGACTTTGCGGTAAAACATGTAACATTTGAATAAATACAAATAAACACAAACAATAAAAAATAAGAAGTTTTTTGTTGTTTTTAAAATGTTATTCGTATCTTGGTTAGAAGAACGCAGTTAAAAAACACAAGTTTGGCTCCTGACTTCTCACTGACCTCCAGCCAATATATTTATCTATTAAAATCCACCAGCAACACAGGGATTTTATTTATTGAAGGGCTGATTAGCTGAAGCAGGTATTAGATCTTAACTGTAAATACGGGTACCGTCGAGGATTTCCTCGATGAGAGATTTGGAAACGACATAAAATAACAATGTACACTTTATTTGTTTACTTGTGTTTATGCTCATGTTCGTGTTCTTTTGAACAAATGAATGCTTAAGCGCCTTGACCTTACATCTAATTTTCTCATACATATACATTATATATATATATATATATATATATATATATATATATATATATATATATGTGTGTGTGTGTGTGTGTGTGTGTGTGTGTGATCGTCGCTTTCATCGCGCCTCACCAAGAACTTGAACAAAGCCGCTGCTTGTTTTGTGTGTGTGTGTGTGTGTGTGTGTGTGTGTGTGTGTGTGTGTTTGTGTGTGCGCGCGCGCGTCAGTAGATGTTCGGCTACGGTGCTCCGTCTTCACATACAGACCTGCCGGTCTCTCTACGCTTTCCACATCCGTGGTTCGTTAAGTCCCGCCTTCTAGGCTGGGGGCGGGGCTTGTCTGAATACGGGTGGGGGAAATAAATAACGCCCCTCAATACTGAGCTACCTCTACATGTAATAAACTCTGTTCTCACGACTCGAGTAAAACAGTACATTTACAGAGAAAAGCATGCAGCCCTACAAGGCTAATTATTCTGAAGGACAAACAAACACCATGATAATCTGGCTAAATGTAAGCTCCTAAAATTCCCCACCGTCTCAAAACGTTTTTCTTAAAAAATAAGGCGACACGTTTAAAAACGCTGTGTGATTGTTTCAGTGTAAGAGCACCTCAATGGGCTCAACTACACGCGAAGGCTGAAGACAAAACGGGCTACTCTAAAGGTTAACAATGATGAATGTTAAAGGTATTAAGCGGTCTGGTCGGTGTTTGACTGGTTGTGGAACAGAGGACACTGTTCTGACATTGCCTGACAGATTCAGACCATTCAGATGTGTGAGACAGATGCAGGGCCTGTTTGTTTTGCTCCTGCTGATGCTGTGAGCGCAGACAGTAAGTCAGTAGGTAAGTAAGTGAGCAGCGCTTTCACCATCCAACCGCTTCCTCATCACAAACAGCAGAGCAACAGAGCAGGAGCCCGCTGACCGGCTCAGGAGCCGTTTCACACAGGCGGGCAGCGCAGAGGCGCCTGGAAAAACAGCGGCGAGGTCTTAATTTAGAGAAGCGAGGAGATTAATGGATAAAATAAAATAAAACACAAATAAATAAATAAATAAATAAATAAATAGAAGTGAATGAATGATACCAGCAATTCTTTTATCTTCGGATAGAAAGACAGACAGACATCTATCCTCATGTATCACACCGTGTCTGAACTCTGCTGAGCAGCTTTAATGTCTCTGCTGTGTTACTATGTCCACTGCACCGCCTTCATTGTGTCAAGTCTCGTCCACAGTGACTGAGCTCTCCAACAGGTCGCTGGTTAATTCTTCGTTTTGTATTTGCTGAATGTTTTTGTTGTTTTTTTAAAGCCCGAAACAGTTCAGATTCTGCTGAAACAGAAATAAAACACCAGCCATAGGCAGAGCTACCTGCTGCAGAGCTCCTGCCCAGCTGTCCGTTTAGGGGCTCCGTTTGCGTTTGAAAAATGAAAAAAGAAAAATCTAAATATTTTTTGACAAGGTTTGTTATAACTGTTACAATCTGGAAATTTGAAAAATAAGAATCATTGTAATTCAGTGTAATTAATGAATGCTTTTTTTTTCATCAAACCGTTAACCTGATTAAAAGAATTGCATAATTTGGTACAATATAACGTAAAACCGGGCTGTTTTTTATTGATCAATCATTTAAATTTTTTTATTAATTAATTAATTTAATAAGCAGACACTTCGCTTTACGTAACCTAGACCGTATCGTCAACTAATTAAAGAATGAATAATAATAATAATAATAATAATAAGAAGAAGAAGAAGAAGAAGAAGAAGAAGAATGTTATTATTATTATTATTATTATTATTATTACAAAAATAGTAGAGTAGTTTAAACGTATTTTAATACATGTCAGTAGGTTATACAGCCAGATGTCTCCCGTTTGATTGTGTTTTACTGCAGAAACGGGGTGGAGTTTCAAACAGAGAATTTCAATGAAGACAAAAAAAAGGTTCATACTCATAGCGTGGGTAACTCGACAGACAGTCCATCTGTAGAAGATCCCCCCGTTTCTTTCAGACTTGAATATTTGCTCGTCGTCATCTGCTCCGGTTTGTCACGGCTGATGGCAGCATGATTCAGACAGGCCGCTTTGCGTGGTGCTGCGGGTTTGAATGATTGCAGCTCGAATGGTGTAAAATGAGGAACTCGGGAAGAAGAGAGTTCACTCAAGGCCCCATTTCTTCTTTCATGATGCTGAGTGTCATGATGTGTCCCCGAGCGCCGCGCGCTCAACTTTGTGCTGTTTTGACAGGTGTGTGTGTGTGTGTGTGTGTGTGTGTGTGTTGATGGACAAAGTAGGCTAACCGACATACACTCAAATAAAGTGGCTGAAGTAAATTTACTATCGTATAAACTTCATTTTTCATTCAGAAACTACGTCCAACAGGTCAGTAGTCTATAAGCAGACCTCGCGCGCTAAACTGCCTAATATCGCTAGAAATTTGAACATCTACTATCTGGAGTTTTGAGAGCGAGGCTCAGAGTGAGGGTTCACAAAAATCCGAAAACGGCGGGTTTATAGCACATTCAGCGCATTTTATTGTTCCCCCGTTTTGGGCTGCTGTATTAATCTATCTGATCATTTTTCTCTCCTTTCTGAAAATGACTTTTCTGTAACGGAGGTCACTCTCAGGACTGCACCCCGTTTGCTCCTTTGTGGATGAAAACTAGATACACCTCCGTCCACGCGTTTCTGCTGCCGCTCTGAGTCTCTTCACATTGAGCTTCGTAAGTGTGGAGCGCCATCTGCCGACCGAGACCACCTCACTGAGCGAGCCCCTCAGTGGCTCACATTACAAACAGCGAGCTCGATGTCAGCACCGGCTTTAATCAGGCTTAGGTCCAGTGGAGTGGACTGACTAAACCACTAAATCACTAAATAACTAAATGACTGAGCGCCCGCAGATGAGCACGCTGGAAAAACAGTGCTTTGAATCTGCTTGATTCAAATGAGTGAAATATATGAGGCTACATCAATCACTTTCTGTCTTCAGTTCATTCTGTAATATACTGCATTCATGTGAAAACTACACATTGGAATAAGGTAAATGTAAAACACTGTTTTTAAGTGTATGGCTAGTTTGCTGTTTCCCCACTCATCTTTTCCCCTGCTTTGGCTCTCACCCTCCAGCTCTGTTATTTGTCTGTCCTCTTTTTAAGTCATTTCAGAGAGCTACTGCTGAGAAGGCATGTGGCTACACTAAACACTGAATGATAAAGGCAGGCCTGCTGTAGCTCTGGTGTATATTTTTATGTTTTCTGTCAGAAGGCCTACCCCAAAATTTATACAGCATCTATGATGAACACACCACGTAATACGTAAATACTGACCATCTTTAAATTCTTTTTTATTCCAATTGACTTTCAAGAAAGCACAAGGGAAAAAACATCTCTGCAGGCAGTGTTACTTTTCAGGCTGGCTGATTTGCACACAGGGGTATCCCATCCCCTCCAAATACACGCACAAACATACACACACACACACACACACACACACACACACACACACACATACAAACATGCATACAAAATATGCTCATATGCACCATGGCACCACACAAGACCACAAAAGCTGCAAGGACTTTCTGCTTTTACACTTTCTGTAGTAATTACGTTTCCACTAAGGCAACGGTCACCACAGCATTGTGGTGGTCTCCAACTAATTTGTGCTGCACATTCAGATTTGTTGGCTTGAGAAATTTCCCACAGGTCAGTCATAAATTATGGTTTTCACTGAAATTTTACAAATAATAATAATGATGATAATAATAATAATAATAATACTGCTGCTGCTGCTACAGTTTTACTCACTGTGTAGAGCCACCATAGTAAAAATACAGACAACACAATTTTTTTTCTCCCTGAAAAAAGATATATTTTAAAGTTCTTAGTTAAGCTGTATCTGTCTTTAATGTGCCTTGTCCAGTAAAGTGAGTCGGATGGAAATGCTGAGTTTTAGGAAAAGTGCTTTTGAATGGCTGCGAGTTGTAACACACATATAATGTAGTTCAGGCACTGAGAGTTGAAATTTACTGGTATTCCATAGCAACAAAGTTCAGTAAAGCTGTTTTAGGATGGCTGTGGACAGTAACTCTGTTTATTCTTACATTCTCCTGCCTGTATGTGTTTCCTGACATGTTGCTTTGGGAGTGTGCAGTTGGCTTTAGTCTGTGTTGTGCTCTTAAAGGGACAGGCAGCAATTTATAGCACACTGACTCGATCACTGAGCGTGCTCATTATGGCGTCTTCAGACTCTGCCTCCTTGCTGACGTCAGCGTGGGGGTTGATTAGGTGGGTGGGGTACTGCAGGCCGTTTTGCTCCGCAAAATGCTCCCAGCGCATGTCGTCACTTTCGTGGGTGATGTATCGCTCCTGCATCTTACACTCCAGATTCCGCAGGTCCAACCACATCTGGTAGTCCTGTCACAAACAACATACGACCAAACCATAGTTATGAGTTAAATCCCCCAAAAATTGTCACTCTATGCATACACTTACTCTCTAAAAAATCATGTTACACACAACCTTACACACTTTCCTCTGTAGACAGCATTTACTTTCATGTTTGACTGGCAAAATTTGTCATAAAGCATCTGAGGATGGAGTCTACTGACCAGCACTCATCTGTCAACTAATATAACTTATTTGGCTTTTCCACAAGACACTCTATACAGAAAAGTATGCGGTAGAAAGCCTCCTTCTAGTATACCAATGATACACAGTTATTCAGAAACATCTGGAAGCCAAGCATTACCCTCAGGATGTTGGTGCCCTCTAACACATTTATGCACTTAAAGGACAGTTCCAACACTTTGGCAAATGATTCCATGTTTCAAGCATCATGCAGTTGTCTCAAATCTTTTTTATCTCAAATGTTTTTAGAGACCGCTTGGATATTGGTTTATGGACTCTCCTGTCCGAAAATACTATAATTGATTCAAAGTTGGTGCTTCTGATGGTCCTGAATTCAGATAAATTATACATTCTAACAAGCAGCTTTTCATATCAGACCTACCAAACCTATCACCTCCACTGGAGCAACTAAGGGAACGAGGTATCGTACCTGCTATCGTACACGAAGTAGAATTTTCATAATATTATATTTTTATGCTACAATAACCCTAATAAACCTTCAAATATGGTTAATCTAGCATCAGATCACTCTGCAAGAGTAGTTTCTAAGGTTGCACAATGAGAACAGAATCATAGCAGATAGTTGCTTAAAAATGATCTGAAATGGACAGATGTTTAGATTTGACTATCAGTTCAAACCCATATTTTATGTCTTACTTAAATTTATTACTACACTTATAACTTTATAGAAAACATATATATATACACACAATTGTGTCAAAAAAGCAAAAACATGGGATTAACTGGTCAAAATGTCAGAGCTGTCCTTTAACGTGCCCTACATGTACATAGCTTTTTACATATCTTTTTCAGTAGGTCATATTCTTACAAAGTATTCAACAAGTAAATAACTAAAATTATTTTGTCATATGACAGCTACTCTCACCCTGATCTGCTTTAATTCTAACAGGCACAACAGAAGCTAAAACCTGTGGTCCATCTTTATTCACAAAAGCTCTTCTTTGCCCTGTTGGCTGTGCAGAGAGGAAGCAGGGGCTGACCTGTAGCCAAGGATGACTGAGGGACTTGTCCACGCTGTAGCGCTTCCTCATTTTGACTTGCAGCAGGTTATTAATGAGGTCAATTGCTGGAACAACAAAGCAGGCTGTCAGTGGCCGGGCCATGGTGGGAAAGCTGAAGGATTTGGAGCTCAGAGGGATAATGAGCAAAACCAACATCATGTTAACATTATTTCAGGGGTCACAGAGCTCTGAGAGCCGCCAAGGGTTCTTAACCTCGAGCCCCCCCCCAACTTTAGTCTCTGCGATCGGCGGGCGTTACTCACATGAATGGGCCATGACAAAAATGGAGCGCGCTCTCGCGGATGTCTTTCTTAAATCCTCACCCTTTTCTCCCGCTCTCCTTTTCTTCCCCTGTCCTCCCCCTTGTTTTTGCTCTCCTTCCCTCTCATCTAATGCCTTTTCTTTGGACAGGATGGCTAGCCTGAGTTATTGAGTTCAGCTCAATAAATGCATGGCAGCTGAGCAAGCTCTATAACTTTCTTTTATTTGGAATAAAAAGAGCCTCAAAATTGACCTGTTCTATTACAAATGTTTTGCTTTTTAAAGGTTTTATGTTATAAATAAAATAATACAATATTCCTTGACTGAAATGTATGTGAATGTATGTGAAAAACAAATGTATGAATCAATATATGAATGCATAGTATGAATAATATAATCTCACATTGTGTTTTCTCCATAGGACTGAAGCAAATATTTTCAAACATTTATTTGAGGCATGCTCAGCCTTATTATTACTAACAGAAAACAGAAATTAAATCAATTACCATGGCATAAGAAACAAAATCCTATTACAACAAAAATTACTTGATATAAACTAGTATATAAATAGAAAAACAACTGGTATGTAATTAATTTGTGCTGTTTAGAAACAGAGGCTGCATAGTCTGCGAAGTCTGCTCAGGCAAATTTAAAAGAAAAAAGTGGGCATCTTTAATTAAACAGAGGAGCTGAGATAACACCATGCAAAACCCATTTACACGAACAGCATGGTCAAGTGTGAAGGATAAATTAGAAAGTTATCTTGATAAGGTTGGAGTTTTGGATTTATACAAGATCGTTTGAGATACAGCTAGCAAGGTAAAACAAAGCAGCATTGATTCACATCACTAGAGGAACCTTAATACTGTCTGTAGCTGAGAGGCCTGTTAACATGGCTCAAATAAATGGACAGGATTAGTTATGTTCGTCAGTACGGAATGGTTTCCAATTCCTAAGCACTTTAGTACATCACTGCTACAGCCTACTGTCAGCTTCATCTACTATTGTTTTGGCTCGCAAGGCTGGCCCATAATGAAGCCAGCTCAACATAAAGACCTGAATGACTAGTTCAGGTTTATATCTGAATAAGGCAGAACTACTCCAGCTTGCCATTGGAGGTTGGATTCATTAACAACATGAAGCACTGAGAGTTAACCTCTTAAATGGCCAGGGCCTGCCAGCAGGCCCAAAGTTTCATTACACATTTCTGTAACCTAAGAATAGCTCAATCTGTTTGCATTAAAGCCCCTTTAGTTACTGAACAATAAGCCTTAGTATGTAATAAGCCTGGGATTTTAAGTGGTTAACATTATTGTTACCCAGAAAGATGGGGTTACTTTGTTTATATAGTAAGATTTCTATTCACACGGTAGTCTAGCGAAGTTGTAATCACATATTTCATATTCTTTTGCCACAGTTCTTTAAAAAAATTAGAGATTTCAGGGCTTTGGAATGATTAATCAAAAATGGTGTAATTTTTAAAGGTTAATTGCTATGGCAACAGCTTGTAGTACAATGTGATTAAAATGTTAGATTACCTATCTTACACAACGATTTAATACTGAGGTGAACCGGAAAAAAGGTAACAGTCCAGAGATTTTGCATAATACTAACATAATTATTACTTTTAGTGCTTCTAACTGGCTTGCATTGGAAAAGCAGTGCCAAAAAATTAGCTTTAATCATGACATTCTGGTGGATACCACTCTGTGCCTGGAGGTGCTTAAGCATGTCCATTGCTAGGAAGGAACGACCGCAAAAACGCCTTTTCTCCTCATTATTAATCTATGTTCTATTGATCATGGAGTCTAAACAGTCAATGCTGGAGTTCGAAAAGATGCTGTAGCAGGCTTCATATTCAAAAGAACAGACATTGAATATGGTGCTGGAGGGTTATGGGAAAAACCGTGATTACAACTTACATCAGTAGAAAAATCTTCACCAAGTTGGAGGTAGAACTTGCATTCTGTAACTGGCAAATAATTCAGCCAGTGTCTTGTGTAATTTGGTTCCCTGGCATCTTTAAAGTGCACTCACACTTTCTGTGTGTCATAGTGATCTTTGTAATCTGGATAATTGAGCTGACCTAAGTCTTTTTTAATCACCTTACTTGTATGTAGGGGGTATATAGGTCATCTGCATTCAGTTATTGAAGCATTGTGCACCTTTTGGTGTGTATTCACATTTTCTCTTGCTCACTCAACAAGAACTATTCATGTTTTCTTTGATTTTTTTCATCTGTACATAGTTTGTCCTGTGAACATTCCCGTTACCTATCAGTAAAGTTTACCATTTACAGCCTTGTGTCATTGATGAAGTTCTTTCACCACTACTACTTTCCTCAGCTTCTAATTTACAAGAACACTTTTCTAACACAGTAATGTGTACATTTGAAGAAATAAATGATGTGAAATTGTTCTTGGGATGTATATAGTTTTAGGGAAAAAAACTTTAACTGGTATAGAACATTTACACAATATGGATGTTCCTTAAATAGGCCATTCTTAAAATTTTAGAAGACAATTAATTACCATATAAATTACTGCAATTAACAAATTCATTCTTCTTTGTTCATTGCATGTAACTAAAAGTACAAGTCTAAAGTGGCTGAATTGTCTGATGAGCCATTTTACTTCCTAGCTGTCAATATTTAGTAGCTCCCAACTGATGACAGAAATACATGTATTTGCTTCAATCTAATAGATGAAAGCAATTCACATTCTGTTTGTTGCAACATTGTGAAACTGAACTGTGGAAAATAATTGTGCTTAAATAAATGTGATCAGGCAATTATGTAATAATTGTGACAGGCCTATCTTTAAACTTTAAAGAGGCTCTTCAAGCTTGCATACCATCAACAAAAACGGCTATTCTTTAAAGAACCAGGCACTGAACCAATGGTTTTAGCAGCAAACTTCAGGCAGCTTAATTTTTAAGAGTCTATTATAGATATTCTCCAGACTAAAAGACTTAGCTGTGCTTATTGAAGCAATGAATGGTTTTACCTATGCTTATAATAAGAGATTTTATTTCCCTGTGGTTAGATGCACAGTCCTTCTTAACCACACATACAACAGATACATCCAATCCAGTTCTGGCTGGAAACCTACCTTCCGGGGTCACCTTCTTCCATGGGTTGGGTGGATACATAAAGGCAGCGTTCTGGATTTGGTCGTGGATGTCCTCATCCTCGTTGAACGGAAAGGTCCCACTGAGGCTGACGTAGATGATGACCCCCACAGACCACATGTCCAGAGAGCGGTTGTAGCCCTTGTTTCTCAGCACCTCCGGGGCCAGGTACGCTGGGGTGCCCACCACCGAGCGCCTGAATGACTTCTCCCCGATAATCCGGGCGAAGCCAAAATCGCACAGCTTCACCTGCAGAAGACAATGAGTGATCAGTGAGCTTTACGCCAGAGCCTGACACTGGGACTAGACAGTTCTTTTACTTGACTGGGGCGCAACAAATAGCATCCATTATTTCTCCCCCAAACCCCTCTCCACAACAGACACCATAATGAGCAGTTGCCAAAGACTGCACTGAACTTGAATGAAATTATCACGCAGTTAAAAGCAGTTACAGTGCGCTCTCCTGCTGATCTTCCCCCTTCTCTTTTAAAACATTTACTTGCGCAGAGGAAAGAACAGCATTTGGGGAGAGCCATTACAGGACCCTTGATGCAATGCTGCAATCTCTGCAGTTCGAATGATGCCTGTTCTAGTTTTGCTTCTACATTCGTGTTTGTTCTGGGAAAAATATTTGTGGTAAATAACACAAACGCGATTTGGTTAGTATTCCTTCGAGATGTTTGCCCGGTGCCCAAACACAGTGAGTCATCGTTCTGCTCAAGCGCTTCCAGAGCAAGCTTCGCACAGTAGACGGCTGAAACAATGGGGAGATAATTTAGCAGTCTTTCATTGCAGAGAGGCACGCACATACACACACACACGCTGCGCGCCAACACACAGAATAAACTGTAATTACCATCTCCTATTGTTATTCTTTTGCTTTTATAAAAGCAGATTAATTCATGTTTATTTTACTGTTTCCCCCCTTTATTCAGTCTCTTTTTAATGGCCATGGTTTTCTGTCAGTATGCTACTCACTTGGGGGAAGGAGTCAGCAGATGCCAGTAAGACGTTCTCGGGTTTAAGGTCACAGTGTACAATGTTTTTGAAGTGAAGATGGCGAAGAGCAACAAGGATCTGAGCAAAAACAAGGAATACAACAGCTTCAGTAAAGAACATCATTCATCACCATGTCATTACACTCACTGTTACAAGATTATACATTAAAAGTATGGAATACTAGCATACTGTACATTAACCACTTAAGCCCTAAGCTACTACTCTAAATTGTTTGGTTGCTATCATGAAACTAATGTTGTTTTAACTGAAAAGACCAGCTGCCTTTTACATTGTGCAACAGTCCAGAGATGAACACTTCACAATGAATGGACCAGTAGAAATGTTCCAAAATTACTTGGAATAAAACCTCAACATATTATTTTTGAACATTTTTTTCCTTCTATTTTAAAGTTAACATGTTGGAGATACAAGGTTTACTTTCGAGTATAAACCCTTAGGGTTCAAGACGTTAAAACTACGAAATGCTGTACATTAAAAGCAAAGCATATTGAGTACTATACATTAGGAGTATTGAAAGAGCAAAAAGCGCTTATCAAGAAATGCACTTTTTTCTCAGTTAAAACAGCCATTAAGTACAGGTTATTCATTGTTCAGGAGGTATTTCAGAGGAAAAAGATACACCATAATCCATCTGCATAAGGAAGGGGAAAGTTAAGGGAAAATGCAGTGAAAAAACTGGATTTATTAAAAGATATAGAGAAAAAGGGACTCCTAACAACCATGCAAGACCTGGTAGACCATCAAATCTACCCTCAACAGATAAACAGTTAACTTAAAGCTCTCATCGTCGAGAGAGAGGGAGAGCGAGGAGAAAATCAAGCTCTACTCTTGCTTCACATCAGTCCATCTGCCCATCCTTCCACTGTAAGAAGAGCTCAATGCTCAATGCTATGGGTCTGAAAGGATGTGGAACAGTCAAGAAGCCCTTACTGAGAAAAGGAAATAGACAAAAACCAAGAACATCAGCAAATCAAACAAAGAAGCTGCTGGTATTCTTATAAAAATGGACTGACCATCCACACCTCAATATCATTGAATGAGTTTGGGATTACTTGGATTGTGAGAAGCACAAAATGCAACTAACTTCTGAGGCTAAACTTAGGAAGTTTGGAAAAATACTCCAGCAGATATCTCTGAAAAAAATGAAAGCAAGTCTCCAGAAAAGAATGGAAGCTGTAATAAGGCAACTTCACACTAAAAAAATCCAGAAAAATGACATATTTAGCTGTTGAGGCCTCTTTGTAGTTTTTGTGTTAAATTTGTTTTCTGCTGTTTCCTTACATTGATATATGAATACCTTAATGAAGCATTGAAACAAATGAAGGGTGGTCTCTGACTTTTGCACAGTACTATACTATATCAGCTTTTGTCACTGAACAAGTGGCTGTTCATTTGTGTGTATGCAATCTGACAGAGTCACACTGAGGTCAAGTGTGTCTGGCTAGTGGCTGTGTCTGAGAGACTTACCTGTGTGACGAGGAACTTGGTGATGCGCTCCGGCAGCCTCCCCTTCTCACTAGACAGTATCATCTCCAGCATGTCACCATGGAGCTTCTCCATAACAACAAACACACGCTCTGGTGTTTCAAACATGCACTCAAGGTTCACGACCCCAGGGTGGTGAAGGTTCTACAAACGATGGAAACAAATTCACAAAAATCTCTTGATACAGTATCAATATTCACTTCAGTCTATTGTTCTGTATATATCCACAGGGTCATCATAACATTATAGACTTTGTTATATGTAAATGTGTGTTTATTCACCTGAAGGATGGCAACTTCATTGCGTAGTTGGCTCTCCTGTTTGGTGGGGAAGCGCAGCTTGTCTATAATCTTGATTGCTACATCTCTGCCTGTTTTTCTGTGCTTTCCTGCAGTGTATATAAGAAGAAAATTATTTTGTATGGATGAGGCCTTAGATGTCATTTTTTATTATTTCCTATCTCTAGAAGCATTACACATACAACAACAAAGGTGCATTACTGTTGGTGGTTGGTATAGTGTAGTGGGTAACACCTCTGCCTTCTATGCTGTAGACTGGGGTTCAATCCCTGCCTGGGTAAGCACCCTACACTATACCAATAAGAGTGCTTGGGCAAGACTCCTAACACTACCTTTGCCTATATGTGTAAAATTATCAAATTGTAAGTTGCTCTGGATAAGAGCGTCTGCCAAATGCCATAAATGTAAACTTTATGTCAACATACATCTGCAACACAACATAAAACACTTAGCATACTTTTTACAGTACTGTGCAAAAGTCAAACACCACACTTAATTTCTTTATTATTTATTTGCAGTTAAAACTATTAAAGCTATTAAGTACAAGTTATTCATTTTTCAGCTTCAGGAAAAAAACATAAAACAAAATTACGCAGAAGCCCCAAAAACTAAATATAATATCAAACTTTTTAGTATTTAGCATCCACATTCTACCTTTATTACAGTTTCCATTCTGTTTAGTAGTCTTGCTTTCCAATTTTCAAAAGAAATTTGCAGGAATTGTTTTCACACCTCCAAAGTTCAGATTTAGAAGTTGGTTGCATCTTCTGCTTCTCATAACCCAAGTAATCCCAAACACATTCAGTGATGTTGATTTCTGGACTCCAATCCATTGTGCTGAGGACACCAAAATGTTCTTTGTTTGATTTGCAAATTTTCTGCTTTTTTGTCTATTTGCTTTTCTCAGTAAAAGCTTCTTGACAGCTACACATCTTTTCAGACCCATAGCGTTGGGTTGTCATCTCACAGTGGAAGGATTGAGAGAAATACCTATATTTTTTCAGATCTGGAGCAAGAACAGAGCTCGATTTTCAGTCACAGATAGAAGTTGTAAGCACTGTTTACCAGATGGTGACAGTTTTGTTGGCTACATGGTTGTTAAGAGTCACATTTTCTCTGTATTATTTATTCATTTTTTCAACTCAGTTTGTGGAAACTCCTGTTTTCTCTTATTTTTCCCTGAGTTTATCTAATCTGGTCAGAAATATCTCCTGAAAATAATAAAAGTAGGATGCCCTCTGACTTCTGCACAGTACTGCATGTGAACATTCAAAAGAGAACCACATACAGTAAATACACTAGTTCATTACCCCCATAGACAATGCCAAACTGCCCAGATCCAAGAACTTCATCAGGGAATATCTGATACACTGTGCTAATGTCCTACAAGAGAAGAAATAATGGGGAAAACATGAGAAATAAACAAGATTTAAACATTTCAAAGATTCTGGTGGTTCTTCTTATTGATCTACATTCTGCTTTGTCTGATCTGTAGATTTTGCACTGCTACATTGGCTGAATTAAGAGCAGTAGCACAGGGAGATATTACTGTATCCCGCTAGGACTCTGTCACAGAAGCTCAGGTAACTATGGCAACCCCATGGCCAGGCAGGTAATCAAAATAATCTCCAATAGAGGCACTGAGTGTTTATATCACACTGAAACTCAAGGCTACAGGTATGGGCAAGCCAACAGATTTCTCCGACACAGAAATACAGCTCCAAATGGAAAAGAAAAAGAGCTGTGGTATTCTGTATTTAAAACAACGAATTAAAACTACAGTCATGCCACCACATTATATTTTACATTGAAAATGATACACAGCTATCAATGCTATTTTTTACTAATATATCTTACCTGTACCACACATTCTGTAGATAAACTTTTAGCTGATTACTTTTTTAATATCCAAAAAGGAATCCTGACTGATGCATTTAAACAAGCTGAAACATTTCCTTCCTCTATTTAATGCAATACATGCAGAGGTTTTACACTTTTGTTTGCAAACAATCATGATTAATATAAAATATGGAAATAATACAATACATTTGTGAATAATACAATAATTAGTAAAATAATGAAAAGAGTAATCAAAGAAAGTTGTATAATTACCACATTCTCCTGAATCTGGCAATTGGACACAGAGATGCTGATGGAGACGTCTTCTGTTTACGAAGGAAACAAACATGATTATAACCTTCAAGATCAGATCAGAGTTTTTAAATGTATTCTTACACTCACTGGCTACTCTATTAGGTAGCTTGTATCTACAATTGCTGTCCATTTTATCAGGTACACTTATCAAATATGTGCACTTCATAGTTCTACAATTGAGGTGTTTTAATCCAAAATGCATTATAGATCTCTTTTAGGATTTTGTTTTATTATATACATTGTTGGAAGTGAGCTTTACACATACATGAAATGCCATATACAGGTATATAATATATACAATTGGATAACTCTTCAATTATAGATTGTAGTCCATCTGTTTCTCTGCATGGTTAGCTAGCTTTCATTGTCAGTGGTCAGGGCCCTCACAGGAACACCACAGAGCAGGTATTATTTAGGTGGTGGATCATTCTCAGCACTGCAGTTACACTGTGTAAGTGTGTGTTGTGCTAGTATGAGTGGATTAGACACAGTGTTGCTGGGCTTTTTAAACACTGTGTTCACTCACTGTCCACTCTACTGGACGTACCAACCCTGTTGGTCCACGTTGTAGATGTAAAGTTAGATACGATAGCTCATCTGTTGCTGCACAGTCCTTCTTCAGGGGTCAGTTTCTGGTCACAGGACACTGTTCGTTGGCAGACCATTCTCAGTCTTGCAGTGACAATGAGTTGTTTAAAAACTCCAGTGACACTGCTGTGTGTGATCCACTCTGTGCAGCACACACAAAATAACATGTTAGTACCACATCAGTGTCACTGCAGTGCTGAGAACACACCACCCAGATAATACCTGCTCTGTGGGGTCTTGACCACTGATGAACAGGGTGAAGAGGTGCTAACAAACTATGCAAGGAAACAGATGGACTACAGTCTGTAACAGTAGAACTACAAAATGCTTCTATGTGGTAAGTGGAGCTGATAAAATGCACAAGAAGTGTAGATAAAAGGTAGAAGTGCCTAATATAGTAGGGAGCGAGTGGACATATAGTTATAGTTACTGAACAAGGTGCTTCATTACTTTCCTTCCTGTTTTGGTCGGGAGTGCACCATAGATAAATGACTTGTTTTTAGCAGGCGGTCAGGGCAGATTTCATGCAAAAAAGCAACATGCAAACTGACTCACTCTCTAGTACAAATAAAATGCTACAGTAAGGAAAGGCAGGTCATGTTTCTTTCCTTGTTCAGCTAAGAAATTCAAATAGCTCTTAACAAAGTGGCTACAAGTCTACACTCAGTCAGTACCTGTTGGAAATGTATTACTTTCATTTGACTACTGAAAGCCATTAAGTTTTGCGTGTAATGTAGGCTATTACAAACTTGTTAGAAAAGTTATAAAATATCTTGCATTCTATGACCAGTACCCTTGGTAATTTAAAAGACCCTGACACAAAATAATGGCATAATGTCTGGGATCAAACAATTTGTGTTTGCTTTCTTTCTTTCTTTCTTTGAAAATTCCTGAGGATTCTCATTACATCACATCTAAATATACCATTATGTCAAAAGTAGTGGAATTCCCCTTTAACCTCAGCAAACATTTTTTTCTTACTATGTTCTATAAGCCACGTTCGCTTTTGAGCCTTGTTTAATGTGCCAAATATAAGCAAGCTCATAGAATAATAGTCTACTAGTTCTGAGTAGAAAATAAGTTTTGCAGTTTTTTGGCATTTTCCATGTAATGACTGAACAATAAACTTCAGAATGTTATAAGTCTGTGATATTATAAAAACAGATCCAATGCATTTCAATATCATACTGTGCTGGCTGTGCCTGCCGCTGTGGGCCATCCCCTTGGAGATGACGGGCATGAGGGCATGCTGGATGGCCATCTCCCACATCCGGGCCACGTCCTGCCCAGCTCCGCTGACCAGCATGCTGCTGCCATGGCAGTCCTCCAACCGAGACAGGTTTTCTCCTACGTAGTACACCAGAGATGTGGTAGCAATCTCAAAGCAATGTGGGTTGGCACCTTCAGGAAGCAGGTTGAAGGTCTTAGCTGGCTCCAGAGACAGAACCTCAGATAAGGGAATTTCCTTCAGGACAAAAAGAGCCAAATACAGGTTCAGGGTTTGACTAGAGAAACTGTTAGGTGTCATAACATTTTTGTTGGTTTACAGCACGGAATATAATAATCAAGAACATGCAGACTCAAATCTATGCATACAGAATATCACATATTCACATACATATCACACAAATGTTAAAAAAAGTAGTTGCATAACTAATGATGTAGATAAAATAACATAATTACGTAATGACATTTAAATAGAATATGAGATTAATAAGAATGAAAGTAACAACTCTTAACTTCTAAGGAATAATACTGATTGCTCAAGACAAAATTTTACACATTTGTCATTCTACCAAACTGGTTCAAAGTCAGAGTGGAAAACACATTTCAGACTTTTATCTGACTCGTACGGAGCCCTGATGATGACATCCTGTATAAATAAAAATAATGTGTGGCCATGCCTTATTAACGCGTGGGAACAAGATCCTAAAGCCTGGCCACGTCTTAGTAAGGCGTGGGAATGAGATGGCTCTCATCTTATTCCCACGCCTTACTAAGTCGTGGCCACGCACTATTTTTATTTATACAGGATGTCACCAGCAGGGCTCCATAGACTTGGACTAAAATCCTTTTGCTTTAAGTGACTCTATACCTTAATCATGTTTATTTAAAAAAATAAATAAATAAATGACTGAGCTTTTCATTCTGTCACTACCAAAACAATCATAACACTACCAAAACTGTACAAAATGATTAAGTAGTAATTATTTTGCTAGTGGCAATTTTAGCCATTTTACCTTAAAACCACTAGCTAGTACATGACTAGCATATATGAATAGTTACACATAAAATTCTAAAATTTTCATTAAAACACAAAAACGTTGACTTAATTGCAGTTTCAGTAGTGACAATTCTTAATGTTACACATGAATTTTCAGAATTTGTGACACATTTACTTCAACAATCTAACTGCTCACCATGTGTCCTTGAGGGACAAGGATGCAGTCTCACTTCCTGCTCTAAAATGCAGGGGTGTGGCTAAAATAAGGCTCCGCCTATGGACTAAAACTCTTTGTGTTTTGATAGTGACATGACAAACTCATGAAAAATTGAAATCATTCAATTTTAAGAGAAATAAAAAAGATGGAAAATGGAAAAGAATGTATGTAATGCATTATTTTCACAAGTTGAAATTTAGGGGTTAGGGTTTGGAACAGACACCTCCCAATACAAAGTGCGCTGTAAATGATGATTTTGTATATATATATATATATATATATATATATATATATATATATATATATATATATATATATTATTATACTTATTATTTATTTATAATTTGTGTAAATATCTAAGGTCTGAATATTGAATTTTTTTTTTTTCTTACTGTGGGACATTGGTTTGAACTCTTTCCTTAGAATGGTATGTATATTACGTGGTTACAATTAAGGGAAAAATTAACACAATATTCTATAATTTGTACACTGATTGACTGATTGATTAGACTTACCTTGTAATATTTGCTCCCAGTATCATTCTGGAACAAAGTAATGCACTTGCTATCCAATCGCCAGTAATGCCTCTTACGCTGGTGTAAAATAGGAGAATGGTATAGTTATCCATTATGTCTTTTATAATAAACGGTAAAAACCTGTAAGGTGTAATGTACCACTTTTTTTTACATATTTCCCATTAATTTCATTATTTCCTATTCATTTATTTAAAGTGTTTCCCTGTCATTTAATTTTAAACACTTTTTACAGCTCATTAGAACTGGCTCTCTTTATTCTATAGCATTGTGTCACCCTGTAGCCATGGAACACCAAGGGAGAAACATGATGAACTTGATTAAAATATAAAGAAACAGCAAACAATTTTAAGCTTCAACATGCTTCAAAATCTCTTCAATACTCTAGAGCCTTTGATTTCGTAGTAGTAACAGGCAAAAGCAGCCACTATTAGCTGTTGTAATCTATTTTAAAGTTGCAAGATTTATATTACAGTAACTATAGGGAGCCAGATTTCTCACCAATGTGTCCTTGCTGGTAAAGTGAACAAGCCACCCCTCCTTCATGACGTTGCTGCTTTTCCTCTTTGTGTGCTTGACCGATTGGACCACTCGCATAAGAGGGATGTTGTTGCTGGTGCATGGGCTTTCAAACACAGTCACAAGTGACTTATGAAACATGAAGAAAAGCCATAATTGAGCCAATTATTTGGTACCTTACACCTCACATATATAGTTTCATTAATTCTATGGTGTCAAACAAAAAGTAATCAGAAGCAGTAATAAAAAACAACTGATTTAAATATACCTTCTCAATGGATCTGAAATGATTAGCTGGCTGTTTACATGATGACCCAGTCTCTCTTACAATTAAACGAAGAGCCTAATAGACAGACAAATTTTTGTGCCTTTTTAAAATATTTTAGACTCATTTTAATACTACCCATGTTTTATGGCTACTGTTTGACTTTAAACATCCCCGGTATTCAAAAATGTGTTTTCTAAATGGTGAACTCCTCCTAGATAGCTTATTATGATTATGTAGACTGAAATTTGTATCAGATGCTTTCTCAGTACATTCGAAAACTGATTCATGGGACGACATACAAAAAAAGTTAGTATTGTACGTCACAAATGAGCTTCAGCCTATCACACTCCAATATATAAAATATGAAATATGCTACTGAGAGGATGTGGTAGGTGTAGACGAGAGCTACGAGAGGCGGTATGGGTCCAGTGCCCACCCGTGCCTCATAAACTGATGACAGCCTGGGAAATTGCATGAGCACCTGAACCTAGAGGGAGTGAAAGAGAATTTGTTTGTCCTCCCCCCCTGCCTCAGCCCTCACATCCCATGGCAATGCTGCCGGGATTGAACTTTAGGCGCTAGAAGCTACAGTTAGCTTAGCAAGAAGGCTTAAACAGCTTTACACATAACCATGTAGGTTCATTCCGGTTCATTGAGGCCTCAATCATTTAAGTTTAGACTCAAATCTGTGTGGGTAAACGTGGTTTGCGTGTGGTGTGCTGTTAGCTTAAGCTACTTGTAATTTATCTCCCTGTTAGCACCAGAAGCTAACATTAGCTTAGCGAGAAAGCTCACTGACACTGGACTAACGCAAGTTCAGAGAATAACCACTCAAATCCGAGCGAGCGAAATCGAGTGACTGGTACCAGAGTGACTTAAAGACAGAATCTTTCTGATTAGTGAAGTTGGAGTGGTAGCTTTGTTTCTGCTCTGTCTCATCTGTTCAAACATACAGACAGCATTCAAGGTAATGGGGAGGCAGCAGAGGGGCATGTACAATTGGCTTAATCATGCATATTCATTTATCTTTGCATTCTTATTCAGTGTTGAGGTTTAGGGACACTATATGCCATGCTTAGCATTTTTGGGGGATAACAACAATTTTGTGTTTTAATTGCTAACTTAGGAGTACTGAAAATACTCGTATTACTCACCAAAATAATCAGTACATTACTCGATTACTAAAATAATCAATAGTCACAGGCATACATTAGAGTATAACTGTGGTATAGGGTCTACCTGATGACTCTGTTGGACTCATCGGGATCTGGATCATGGAAGTCTACCAGTTCACCATGACCAGCATCCAGCAGGGCCACAGGGTCAGAGACCAGCGACTCCTCCATGTCATCTATAAAGGGACTGTTCCTCTCCCCATCATGATCATCACAGCCTTCCTCCATCACCACATCAGATTCAGCACCAGGACTCAACAGATCTAGAAGAGAAAGAGAAGAGAAGGAAAATAAACAAGACTAGTATCACACAAACTTAATTTAAAATTCTAATTAAGTATAAAAAAAAGATTAAAAAAAAGAACAGAGGTACCCCGAGACAGCAGAATTGGAGAAAGAGGCAAAACATGTACAGCTCCGCATATCATTTCCTCTATTTAGTATTCATTGTTTTTAATGGTCCACCACTAAATACACAATAAACGAAAGAGTACTGCAGGCTGTAGGTGCTTTCCACCTAAATTAATTTAAGTAAGACTGAACATCTCAGTGACCTCAGTGTGTACAACCAAGGTGGTGTTTTAAATGCTCTGTGGGATAAATATTGTTGTTTTTGGTGAGAAAATGCAGCGTTGTTGATCGTGACATTAAGAAGCATCTAGAAACGCTAAAGTTAGACTTGCCTCCGTTCCTTGACACCTCTCCAAGGCAGTTGTTTGGCACTTTGGGTGCACATCGTTTGTGGCAGTTGAATTTGCAATCTGAAACGGTGTGAGGAGAAAAAAGGAGATGAGAAAATTGTGGCAAAGTGGGGGAGAGACAGAGAGAGAGGGACCTGGCACACTGACATGAGTGTGTGTTGTGCTATTGGCTGACAGGCTGAGACCTCGCACATTGCAGAAGCACATTAAAGCTGTTTCTGCCAGCCAGCTGACAGCACTCTAATGCCTGACATGCAGAATACCTTATATCACAGCAGCACAGCTATAATAATACAGCTATAAAACTAATATATAGTAGGAGTGTGATGATTTTCTTATATTATATATCTGCAAAATCGTCACACCCTAACTATATATTAGTTTCATAGCTATATTATTCATAACAGTTATGAGATATGAAAATGTGATTTTTCAACATTTCTGCATAATTAAATCACTCAGATGTATTCATGGTTTGATATGCAATGCCACTCTAGAGAAACTATTTGGATTTCTTTAGAGTGGTGGTGAAAGGACTTGCAATATCTACAACACAAGTACAGGCATTTTATTTACTATCGAAAGTGAGCAGTGAACCTTCACGTCTTCTGAGATTTATATGTAATGTTGATGACAGTAAAATAGTAGTAAATCTGAAAAAATAAGCTGTCCTTGGAGACTATGCCTCACAATGCCCTACATGCACCCCTCCACCATGAACAGATTTTAAAAAATCACACTTTAGGCCAAACTTTATCTTAAAACTATCATAAAACAATGTCTCAGGCATGAGGCAACTTTTGCATAATTATTGTATGTAAGAACTTTCAGGGAGGGTGCTTTTAGAGGCAGTAAACTTTAGATGTCTGGTTTTCACCACCAGTGTGAACAATTCTGATTCTGTAAGTTTCTCTAGAACGGAGCATTCCACATCAAACTATTTTGAATGATGTTGTTTACATCTTAACAGTTTAATTATCGAAAGGTTGTAAAAACAAGCCTGGAGTTTAACTGGCTATCTCAGCCAAACATGCTAAAAATGAATGAAAGCTAGTAACAGCCAGTTAAGATGTTATCTGACCGTTGGTAGATATCCACTTTCATTCACAATGTCTGCAACATAGTAATTGTTTCACAAACTTGTGGAATAATGTCAACCATGGGGGGCTTACAGTGGAATGTGGGCAATTCCACTGCAGCAACAGCAAGTTTTCACTTGCTGGCGTTTGTGTTGCATTTACACAAATTAAAACGTGCTGCCAAGCGTGTTACGCTTGCAATGAGTAATAGCAAGACCTTTGAGGAGCTCATGAAGTGAGCAAACAGTCATGTCGACTCACATTTAAAAAGGGAAGCGTGAGCTAATACCTTTGCACTGCAGGCCCTGGCGGAACAGGCCCTTGAGGAGCTTCTTGCAGTGTTGGCAGACGGTGGGGCGCGTGTAGGAGTGGATGACGAACGTGTGCGGCACCTTGACTTTGGACAGCAGGATCTTGTCGAGCTCAATGGGGCGCCCGATGTAGGACTGAGAGTTAGAGCGCCCTCTTCCGGGGAATATATCTGCCTGGCTCTTCTGCTGAGGAAAAGCAAAACAGAGGCTGCGGAGAAGGCTGGGCAGAGGCCGCAGATGCATGATACTGCTTCTTAGGTAACCTACAGTGGCCCCAAAAAGTATCTGGACATGTTAACCATTCAACCATTGGTAAACTTTAATGAACTTCTTTAGCTTACTTCATAAGTGCTTAGCAAAATGATATTTGTTTCAGAGAAAAATACTTATAGCATAGTGTCAAAGTAGTAACACAAAATTGGACAAGAATTCCACTCAAACAGCACTGAGGGTCGGCAACATGTGGTTCTTTTACTGCCCTGTTGCGGCTCCACAGCAGAATTAGGTTTTTAGGTAAAAATAAAATAATCCTACTTTGCAGCATAATAAACCTCTGCTGAGTTTTAACTCAGTTTTAATAATAAATGGCCTTTAAACATTGGAGTTAACGTATAACTGCTAATCCACCAACCTTGGTTGGCGCACAGACTGCTGGTCAACACAGCAATGCAGACAACAATCTCGCCCAGCTAGTAGCTAATGAAAGGGCAAAGAGAAAGATTTGAGACGAAAATTGATAATTTGAAGACAAACGGACTTATTTGCATTTATAAGCTCTCAGCTGGTTTCCTGATACATTTAATTAGCAATGAGTAACTGTCAAGCACTAAAAAGTTGCAAAGCTGAAGTTCACCAGCTTCATGAATGGTGCAGCAGTAACATTCTGGTGACTGAAGCACCTTTTTAGGTGGAATGGGAAGTGTGATCAGGAAGCTGGAGAATGAGAAACTGACTTCAGCCTCGTAAAAAATCCAACAAGATGGTAAAATGGACATAAAATGTTGTGGCTTCCAAGGTGGTTTTATTTTTGTTGAAAGGACAAAATGGCTCTTCTCAATATTTGGGTTTCCAACTCCTGTCTTATATGGACCATAACAAATTAGTTCAAAGTCGCAATTTGCAAACCAATTTCAGACATTTAACTGACTTGGACTTTAGACTAAAATCCTTTTGCTTTGAATGACCCTATACCTTATTTATGTTTATTTTTATTAAAATGATGATTGAAATGATTTAACATTGTATTTTTTTACTACCAAAACAATTATAACACTACGCAAACTTTACCAAAAGTTTTGATTGTAACTGTTTTGGTAGTGACAGTTTTAGCATTTGAACTCATGGCCATGAGGGACAGACATGCAGTCTCACTTCCTGCCCTAAAATGCAGGGTTGTGACTAAAATAAGGTTCCACCTATGAACTAAAAACATTTGTGTTTCAGTAGTGACATGAAAACATGTGACAGCATCTTTTTAATAAGTTTTTTTTTTTTTAATTAAACTCAGGATAAATTTTGATCATGATCTTTAAAAAAACAATTGCAAGTATTATTTTCACAAGCTGAAATTTAGGGGTTAGGGTTTGGGACAGCCATCTCCCAAAAGACCCCTATACATGATGATTTTGCAATTAATGCTTTAAATTTTTTTAAACAGATCATAACATAATTCTTGTAAATACCTTTTTTGTTTTGTTTTTGAAACACACCAGCTGCCTTTCGAGAAAATTACAGTCATAGAATGGACTGTTTATAGAAAATGTCACTTGGTTTGACATTTTGCCTTCATAACACAATGAACATAACACATTTTTAAGCAAGGCACAAATGTCTAAATACTGTTTGGGGCCACCGTTTGGATCAACGAGTGCATTGCCAGATAATTTTTTTTGGACTGAAGCTTTTGGCTGCATATGCATTTGTTTGACAAGAATGCTACAAAATTATCAGTGTTAAATGAACACCTACAGAGTAATCAGAGGCCAGTTTACCACAGTAGGTGTTCGTTTGACACTAGCGATTTAGCTGTGTATTCACTGTACTGTCTAGACTTCATAAAACGCTGCTTTTTTCATCTCAGTTTTATTCCAGACACATGCACATACACATTTCAGACAGCTGTAAAACATCTCAAGTCACGTAAACATGTGACTACATTCTTGAAGAAGCAAACAAGAATGTTTGTCTGGGAAAATCAGATTGTAGGAGAGCGGTGGCAGATTTGCATTAAACTCAGAACAACGAGTTTCGCATCAAGCTGGTTTTTAATGTGCTGCTGATTGGCAGACGTGCAGATGTCTTACCACCTGTTGAGAATAGACCTGACATCATGCAGGTGTGCCAAATCAACTGCACACTGCACTCTAAAGAAAGCAAGCGATCGATACCCTCCTCGTCTTCATGTTGTACACATGGCCAGTGGTCTTAAGTAGCTTAATGGAGAAAGTGAGATGAACTTACAAAACAAAGCGCTTGACACACTTACAAGTCCTACAAGACTTTTATTAGCTCAAGCTTGGTAGATCCACTTCACAACTTCCTACGAACACCTGTGACATACAAATGGTGAAAAATACATCTATCTACTGTCAATTTATACGTGTCATCAGGTCTTCAGAACACTAATGTGATAATACTATTATGCAGCATTATAGCTGTAGGATGAAAGATGCTCTAATGCTGAATACATCCAGCCTCTCCACTTTATATATACACACAGAGTGTTATGGAGGGGGTGGCTTGCATATTCTTGCATTCGTTTTGCTTTTCCTGAGCTTTTGGCTTCTGCCAGTCACTCTGGCTGGCTTGTCTGACAGCTCCAGTTTATTCTGGTCCACGGTGCGCACGCTGCCATCTACACAGAATGATGGAATGCTCTACATGATGACTATATAAGAGGGCGACCCAGGTATGGTCAACAAAACTTCACGGTGGAGCACAAATACTGCTGAATTTTCTCACTTTTAAATGTCACATACGTCTCAGAAGCTGAGAGTGTTGACAAACTCCAACCCAAGATACTTGTGAGTTGCCAGTCTCTGAATTATGAAGTTTTCCATTTCAGTAAAAGAGATGTTAGTCACTCTGATCTCAACTAGTCTTTCCATTTTTTAGCCAAACTGCAAGTAAATGACTAGTTATACTGGTGTAACAGGTTTGAGGCAGTATCACCAATGTATTTGACCCTTAGAAGTCACAGATATCGCTGACAAGCATGGCATAATTCAATATCAAAGGGTCTATATCATACATAATTATTGTACATTGTTAGTGGGACGTCCACTTAGTGGATGTACCTCATTTAAAAAGCAGGCCAGGTTGAAACACTGCTTATAATGTCAGTGTGAAAGGGTGGAATTAAACTGCCATAGGCTGGATAGGCAGATATATGTAAATGTCATGCCATGTCATCACAAACCAGTGAATTAGTTTCCATATAATGTATATGGACTGTGGAGTGATCGGTACATTTTGAACAATGTATTCTTTAACAGTGTTTACATACTACATCAAACTTTTATTTCATTGTTCAGTTTTTATTTCAGTAATTTAGTTATCTGTGATATGGGGCTTTTAAATATTTCTCACTTGTAGGTTACTGTAACAAGTAAAGAAATGTATTATGATTTGAATGTAATGAAAAGCTATGAATACTGTCTTGTTTTACAGTTTTTGCCATATTTTCATTTAATTTCTTGAAATCAAAACAAACAGAATAAAGTCATAACTGCAGAATTGCACCTGTCAAATGTCAATCAAATTGTGTGCATAGCTCACAATTTGATTGACATTTGACTTGATGTATTAAAAACACAGTATATATACATGAATGGTATAGCAAAACAAAAGCAACAGCTGGATTTGTAGGGGTTTAATATAGAGATGACTGTGTGCTTTATACCCAGTAAAGACTGCACAGCCTTGTGCAGCACGTGTATTGCTGCTCCGGTGGAAAAATAAGCTGTAAGATAGCTTTACCTGGTGGGTGTAACAAATTTATGAGTAAGCAAACAATCTTTGTGCTCAGTTTTAGGTAGCACTGAAGCACTGCAGGGGTGGGCAATGTGACCATGATATATACTTCACAATATGTCTTAACATACTTTTCTTAATTGGATTTAGTCGTTAGTGCATTATATGAAACAGTCAATAAAAATCTGTTTTATAATAGTATTTTTTAAATGTGGCACTGCTGGAGTATTCTGTCTGTTCCAACATATCAAACCTCAGAAAAACTAAATATCTTGATACATTGTGTATAATAAAAATGTGATATTGCATGTTTGCTATACTGCCCACCCCTTTGTCACTACCCGTTCAGCCCATGATTACCAAACCTTGGGTGTTAGCCTGTTTTTCCAGCTTACTAGTTTAATTCCTGATGCTTCGTGTTCACATAACATTTGCTGGCATTTAGTGAAATATGCTATGAAAACCAGCAAAACTGTGGTTACATATGTGCTGGGCAGATGCAGATTTTATTGGACTCCTTGTACTGCTACTTATTCAATTTTACACCCATGAATCATTGGTAGCTACAATAACTTTTAGGGCCCACATCCTACATATCCCACTCGAGGTCCACTTATGATGTTTGTGTGGTTTTAAGCATCAAAAACAGTCATAATTAATTTTACAAGACCATCTTCAAATCTCTCTTTATTCCTTACAATTAAACAAGCTGTTTTTGTAACTGTGCCTTAAAGATTGCTATGGAAGATTCTACCAAATTGGTTCAAAGTCAGAGTTGAAAACACATTTTGGACTTTATTGTGACTTGGACTTAGACTAAAATCTTTTTGCTTTGAGTGACCCTATACTTTAATTATGTTTATTTTATAAAAAATAAATGATTGAACATTCCATTATGTCACTACCAAAACAATCATAACCCTACCCAAACCATACAAAATGTTTTGGAAGTGACAATTTAAGCTCATTTTGAGCATAAATCAAAAACGCTAGCCAGTGCATGATGAGCAAACACAGCTCTTAACAGCTGTACAAACATAAAATCAAAAGATTTTTCATTAAAACACAAAGTTTACTTAATTGCAGAAAATATGTGTTTCAGTAGTGACAATTCTTAATGCTACGCATTGATTTTCAGACTTTGGGATGCATTTGCTTCAAAACAATGGTATCTAACTGCCCACCATGTGGCCATGAGTGACAGGGATGCAGTCTCACTTTCTGCTCTAAAATAAAAGTATTATTTTCACAAGTTAAAATTTAGGGGTTAGGGTTTGGGACAGCCAAGTCCCAATAGAAAGTACCCTATAAATGAAGATTGTGTATATATTTAGCTTATCACTATCTCAATTAATGCCTTGGGAATACATCATGCTTGTACATTTTTTTATTTTATTTATTTTTTAATGTGGGACCTCAATTTGAACTAATTTGGTAAAAACTTCCATATATGTAAATGAGATCTTGTTCTGACTGGCTGTGCTATATTGTGCCTCATTCAAAAAACAGTCCAGGCTGAAATCTTGAAATGTGTGGTTTTCATGACATCATAGAAACAATGATTTCAGCATAGTTTCCATATATGGAAAATACATATATATGTGTGAAGGGCAAGTACTGTATACTGCACACTACTCTTAATAGTAGTATACAGTACAGTATTTGGTATATGACAAAATCTGCGTCCCAAACAACAGGAAAGGGGCAGGACTAGACTGTCAACAATAGGAACTGAGTCAATCAGACTGACCTCAAAACCTCTCTTTTCAGGTCAACACAAATGGAAATATTTTGGTCAAGAGATGTGCCTGCTGAGTTTTAAAAGATAATAAACTGTTCGAAGATAACCAGGCGGTTACAACAGTGAATACATCCTCCTGAAATGGCCGCAGGATGCAGTACAGCACGAAAATAACTCTGGCTGCATACTGGTATATTTTGAGTAGTATGTCATCCATGTATTTGCAATGTACTGGAGAAATTCATGTTGATCACATACTGCATAGTACTTACTACTTTTGGGTGCAATCAGTGAAAGAGAGGTATATAGAAGGCCATTTTGAACACAGTCCATATATGTGTGAACTGGGAAGTGAATGTTACATTTTGCAAGTTTAACATCAAACTGTACGTAAAAAAAGGGAGGAAATCTAATTGTCCATGATGAAGACCCTTTAATTTTGTTCAACCCCTAGCCTACATTGCACCAGAAACTGGGCTGAGACATTGCAATAGTAAGGAAAACAAGCAAATAAAGGTCATTTCTGGATAGCAGATCAATAAATTTTTTGCAGTGGGTTTTCATTTGATCCTAGGTCTTGAAGTGCAAGTACATTTCACAGAAACATGAAAGAATGTTTCATAATAGCAAGGTGTCTGACTGATATTATACTTTTGCTATTTTGGCCACCCCTTTGTAACTATGCCTTCAGCTCATGGTTACCAAACCTTGCACTAGTTTTTCCAGCTTAGCAGTTGAACCCCTGGTGCATTGAGTTCACATGAAACTTGATAAGCTGTTTCTCTGGGATGATGTTACATTTAGTGAAATACGCTACTAAATCCACCAAACCTGTGGTTGCATAGGCATTGGGAAGATGTAGATTTTCATGTAGTGATATATTTAATATAAAGCACGTTTTCTCCCAGATCAGCAGAAATACAGCCACGGCTCATTTGCTCTAATCTGTCTTGCGTGAGGTAAACTGGGTGCAGTCGGCAGATGTTGGTTTTTGCAGTCAACAGGCGATTAACAGTTTCCTTTAAACAAACTTGAGTGTGTATCACAGCATTTCTGGTGTCAGGGTAAAATGTTTCAACCTTTGGGAAAGAGGGATTTGAAGCTTGCCACATGATGACTGCAACAAAAACCGACAGAACACCTTCGAATGCTTAGAAAATTTCAGAGGCAAAATTTATGTCCACTTGTTTAGCTGCACAGATCATTAATGATTTTTAGCAGTCTTGTCACCCATGTGCCATAATGTTTATAGCCTTAAGAAACATTATATTAGACTCCTAATCTGAGACGATACACATAAAACCTGTTTGAATCTTAAAATTGCCTTTTTCCTTAATATAAGGCTGTAAAACAATTTGGTTGGCATACTTGGTTTAGTTAGAAGTTATGTTCGATTTGTTAAGCTTTTTTTTGCAGTAGAAAGGCAGTACTTACCTCCATGCTAGGGCTCACAGGAGACTGGAAAAAACAGACATAGGAAAGAAAGGAAAGAAAAAACACAATTAGTGAAAACCCACAGATTAATTTGGACATTTTGAATGACCTATATAAAGGGAAATGTCACCAAATTTTCAAACTTGGCCATTAGGAGGACAATGTTAAGAGCACTCAGTGCAAACTGAAAGATGTTAAATATGAGATTGTGTCTATCAATTATAGATTACTAGGGCCTTACAGATTCTTCGTAGAGTAGCATTATTAAATAAATTAATTAAAAATGAGTACTAGGCAGAAATAGAGCTTAAAGGGCAATTTCATTTCTGAATAATTAAATCATTAATATGTAAACAAAGTCATTCAGATTGGTTTGATGTAAAATGCATGAATGCTGAATTGATCTCAGTGGTGATGACAGGAACCAAATGTCAAAAGCATTTAATGTCTCTTAAAAGCTCCCTCACATAAAGTTATTACACAAAATGGTGATGCATATTCTGCCTGATACATTGTTTTTTTTACGATACTTATGAGATCTTTTGAGAGATTTGGTATAAAGCAAATTTTAACCTCACTCATGGCAGAGATGTACCTGCAAGGTATTATAACTTATTTTTTCAGATTTATCACTATTGTACCATCATCATTACATATAAAACATGTAGTTACATATAATAAATACTCCATGCACACTCACACAAAAGTCTGCAGTTACACAGAATTATGTTGTCAGGGATTTCCTAGTGTGCCTGCCTGTTGGTTTCTGCCCCTGTCTAGTTTGTTTTCTTGTCCATGTGTCTTTGTTTTCTTGTTCCATGTGCTTTTGTTTATGTCAGCCATGTGCGTTTGTTGTTGTTTTGGTGTGAGCTTCGCTGCTGTCCTGTCCTGTCTTCAGCTCTCACCTGTTCCTCGTTTCTAGCCTCGCCTTCGTTAAGTGTCCTCAGGTGTTTTTTTGTCTTTTGTGCTTGTACGTATACACTTTTGTTTCCTTTGTTCCTGAGCCAGCATTGTTTGATCTATGTCCATGTTTGCTTTCATGCTGTTTTCCCTGCTTGTGTTTTCTTTATTTGTTTTAGTGTTAGTGTTTTCTGTTTTTTTTATTAACTCTGTTTATCTCAGTTCTTAGAGTTTTCATGCTTGTGTTTTCCTCCTCTGCCTAGCCAGACACATCGCTACATATGTGTAGACTTAAGCTTCTGCCGGCATACATGCTAAAAAAGTTAGAATTAGCTTCATAGCTAACAAATAAACATTATTCAGTGCTGCCCTCTAAAAATAAGGGCACGAAGTCCCATGAAGTCTCAAGGAAGGCATTTACTGCTTTCTCTGATTTAGGTTTATATGCCTCAACCCAACACAATCAATTCACATTTTGTTTGTTGCAGCATAATATGACTGTGAAATCTAATGAACTGTAGAAAATGACTTATGAAGTCAGCTTACATACTTGTGTAATCATCTCAAATAATTACAGTTAGGTAATTATGTAATAATTGTGACAAACCTGTTTACTAGTTGTTTTAGATAAAATAAAGTAAATAAAATAGCTGTATTTGCATTGTAGACATGGTGACCCCTGGTTCCTATTACCACAATTTTTTTTCAGGAAGTTCATGTGGTAGTAAATTAGTTGGTTAGTAAGTTTCTCTAAAATGCACCACTTCATGTAAAACCACTCTTAATGATTTTGTTTAATCTCTATTATTGAATTATGCAGAAATTATGCAGAAAAAAAGATGTAACTCCACTTTAAGCACATCTTACAATAAATACTTATCAACACGATGCAATTTTTTCAATGGTTTGTAATATTTTTTTTTAATTGACCCATTTGTTGTACACATTTGCACATGTGCAACATTTGCATTGTTGGTTTTGTGTTTACCATGCTTTAACATGTCCAATTTAACACATGAAGGGCTCGATCCAGATGCGTCACTTCACTAAAAAGCAGTACTGTGCGCTCTACACTGCGTTATTTGAAACTCACCAGTAAGGCTTCATCGGAGGTGGTGGGTGAGGGTTCAGCAGACACAGAGCGAGTGTTGGTCAGGCCAGTGAGGGACACATTGGACAACCTGCGCTTCCGAATACCACTGCAGTTGTTTGGGATCTTAAAGGCACACCGCTTGTGGTAGTTTAGCCCACATCCTTAATCCATGACACAATAACAAAAATAGAACAAGAAGGTGTTCTAGCTGAATTGTTCCTAAAGCAATGACGCATGTAACTATGCATTAAATTAAGTGCAGTGTGTACTAAAGGAATGCTAATTACTGTTAATGATTAATGAAAGCTAGTAGATTACAGCTGGTATTATGCAACAAAATCATGCCACCTGGGCCTGGCTGCTTTCATTGTTCGTTTTCAACTGTTAGTTGTATGATACAGCATTCACATGTTTCTAAGCATTGTACATAGGGCACCTCACCTTCACACTTGAGTCCCTGCCTAACCAGGCCCCATAGCATCTCTCCACAGTGGTCACAGAATGCTGGAGCACGGTAGGAGTGGACAAATAAAGCATGAGGTCTGATCTGAAAGTCCTCTACTGTGGCTGAAGCTAAAGGTTTGTAAAACATAAAAAATACAGATATACAAAGATCATTATTACGTATTGTTTGAAAACGAAACATTTTCAATAAAGAAGCAAAAAAAGAAATGCCAACATTCATTTAGCTAGCATTTTTTATCAAACTACAATTATCAAAACAATAGTGCAGCTCCTGTTGAAAGAATAATTAGCACATACAACAAATGTTGTACAAAATTAAGACAAATTCATTTTAATACACATGTGTAAATGGTTAATTTACAGCACAGAGGATTTTTTTCCTTACTTTTGTAGTTGTGTTTTAGGAATATCATTGAATGTTTTTAATTGAGCAGTAGAAGACATTCCATTTTATGTCAGCATGTCTGATATAAAAATATATATATAGTATAAAATCTAACTGTCTATGTATAATCTAGCTGTACTAAAGTCAAAGTGCAGCCCTTGTACTGAGAAACTAATGAACGTTGTGATGCAATTACCACCTGTGCAGGTGGAGAAATCACATAGGGGCCTGTAACTTGGGAAACATATTGGACCCCTTTTACTATTATTTATGTTATTTTACATCCATGATTCATTGGTAGCTAAGATAACTTAAAAGCCCCCTATTCTATATGTTTTTTTGGCATCTGATGTCCACTTATGACACTTATGTTTTTGTAACTGTTTCTTTAAGACTGATATATGTAAATGGGATTCTGCTCTGATTGGCTGCGTTGTTTCGTGCCTCGTTCAAAAAGCAGTCCAAGCTGAAACTTTTTCTGTTTAACTTTATCAAGAGTTGGCAGGGTTAACGTGCTGTACAATGAATGGGTGGATAAAGGCAAATGCACTGCTTTTTGCGACATGACCGAATAAATTGAATTAAAACAAGCTGTTTTTACAGCTTAGTTTGCAGATTTAGACGTGTGGGGAATGAACAATAAGTTTTGAAACTTTAACAATGTTTCTGCACTACATGTACTACATACAAAATTGGAGATATCCAATTTTCTATCATATAGCCCTTTTAATATGGTTTAACCCTTATTAAAGCCCACATTACAGCACCAACTAATTTTTTACTCTTGGGTTTGCATTGTGGTTCATTTGATCATAGTTCTTGAATAACAAGTGGGAAAACAGAAATGTGAAAATATGTTTCATAACAGCATGACGTCCTGTCTTAAAAAAGAAAAGTTTAATGCATGACAACACCCTTCAGCCTAAATCATTTTAGATTCCCACAACCAAAATCTTACTCGATTTGTTTTGCTCACCCCGCGGCTGCCTATCACATCATTTGGACTTTCAACTTCAAGAGGGAATTCGGATCTCAAAATCCCTGCCGTTATGAATAAACACGCCATGAGTTTTTGAGAGGAAAAAGGCAAACAAGTGGTGCAGAGGGAGATATATTTTTATTCGATAACTCCTATTGCGGGGCCCCCTCTGGGGAAGTGCGTCTTTGGAGGGGCAGATGGACGGGAGTCCTGGCCAAAGCCGATCTGTCAGAGGCCAGACTGGCGCTGCTGCTGCCGCTGCCTGCGCGGACCCCGGGCGGCCAGCTCTCCACGGCCTGGACCCCCTCTCCCAACAGGAGCAGGGCGCATGTCTGTCGGGGTTAAACGGGCTGGAGATTAGTGGCTCCCCAAGAGGGGCTGATGGTCAGTCGCAAATTAATTAAGGGTTTTCATTTGGGCCATCTGAATGCAGTAAAAGTCTCACAGAGGAGCCAATTTGAAGCTCGGTGACATCAATTTGTCTCTCTAAAGTGGTTTAGGGAGCGGCTTCCTTTTTAAAATATACTGCTGAATTTCAGAAGCGTATCAGAAGGCCCAGATTCTTTGGAATATTGTAAAACAGTGGCATATGAACCAGCAGTCCTGGTAGGACAGTACTGGGGCTTGTAGCACCCCTAATATCTTTATTGGACCCCTTATATTGTTACTTATGCAATTTTACTCCCATGACATAAGGGCAGCTATTAAAACTTAAAAATATATTTCAACAATTAACCTACATTAGTGCACCAATTTGTTTGAGATAATAGAGAGCAGGGCTCAAAAACAACGGCATCTGCTTAAACCATTTTGAGACGCTTCAGGGACAACTTACTTTTGTGACTTAACGCTTAATGTCTGTAAAATACAGCCACACACTCTAACTGTACTGTACACATAAATGAATTTATGGACCATAGATGTGTTTGCATGCACTGCATGTCTATATGTGTGTGTGTACACATGTTTGCTAAGCATGTATTCTGTGATTTGCTATCTGACAGTTGTCAGCTTTCAGTCAGTTGCTTCTAGGATGGTTTTTAATATAGTTAATCTGAAGCCTTGAAAGAGTAAGCAGGCAAATTATATTGTCATTATTTTATTAAATAAAGGTCATTTTTGTATGGAGGGGGCCTTTTTCTGTGTATCGTAGTCATACTACCAATATAATATAAATAATTAAATAAACAGTACAAACTGTTGGAAAGTCTAAAACAAAATGTGAACTCCACCAAAACAAACCCAGCTTTATTTACATTTGTAAATTGTGCTATGAAAGAGTGGCTTTTTGGAGAGACGGATGGAGTGTTTTGATTGGCTCTTGTTGGCTACATGTCGGTGGGACCAATAGCGGCTGAGTGGTGAACCCAGCGGGAGGACTGCTTGCTTCAGCATGCGCCCGTCGCCTCCTCTCCAACATGGCTTCTCCACAGCCCGCTCAAGTAGAATACATTCTGATTAGCCATTCTCCAGCTAAATTGCCTCAATTCATTCAAATTATTGTTTTGCCTTTTGTTTAAAGGCCAAGATATGTTTGCAAGTTTGAACTACCTGTAAACTGTCATTAAATGCTTCAGGGAAATGAGGGTGGCACGGAAAATGCACCCTGAGCTGACTTAACATAAATACGTGCGTGTGTTTGTGTGCGCGTGTGTGTGTGTGTGTGTACCCACAGGCATTCCAAGTTTGTCATGTTGCTTGTTGAAATTATAATATGTATGAATCTTGTTAAGTTGGTTTGTGACAAAATAAAGGCATAAATAAAGAAAATGTTGCCGCATTATGTCCTGGTATGACGCAGAACACACAAGAGAAAAAAATGGATCCTCCCTCTAATGTGAGGGCTAATGGAGCAGTGACTCAACCAGCGAGAGCATCTTCATTGTGCTCGTCACTCCTTCGAAAGACACAAGGTCACTCTCAGCTCTTTCCTTCTATAGCATTCGCTGCAATTATGTCAATCTGGATGTACAGTAGGTGTATGTGTCATCAGCTGGACACTTTTGCTACCTGCACAGTACAATGTGTATTGTTATGCATGCTACAGTCAGGGTCACCGAGTTCGCCCTAATGAAAGTAAGAATTACCTTTCAGTCTATTTGTGACTCCAGAGCTAAAATGGTCAAAGTACGCTGCCTGTACTAATCACTCTGAGAGATATAATGAAGGAGTTGACATGTATTGATGAGCTCACTGGAGCAAAAAACTCTTTCGGTCCACCTGTGATTAAGCAGAAGGCAGAAGACCAACCCTGGAACTAAGATGCTTTTTCCAGCTATTTTTAAAACTTAAGCTTGACATGTACAAAAAAGGAAAGCAACATTTCTAAAATACTGCAAAAATCTTCCAAATCTACACTACCATTCCAAAGTTTAGGAGAAACGTTTTCAATACTATTAAACCAATTTTGCTGCAGGTCTATGTACCTACCTTATTCCTGTCCCCCATGATGCTTTGCGTGGCTTATGGACAGAACTTCCTTCAAAGTGTGAACAGATTATATATGTTAAATGTAGTGAAGCATGCCGCAGGAGTCAAGTCCTCGACTCCATTTTTACCAAGATGATAATAAAGGGAAATAGTAGCAATTTAACTATAGTTTACCCAGTTTTTTAGTAGCCACACACTGCAATGACATGATGAAAATCCGTAGATTATAAGCACTATCAGGTAGCTTCACTGCTGACTCATGTTTGAACACATCTTACCATAAGACAAGTTAGCCTGCCCATTTCACATAACAAGGCTGCTGAAGGCTGCTGAAGGACAAGAAGAAACGGAGTGATGTAATGAAAAAGACACTTCTGAGGTCATAACTCTTTGAAAATGAACCATTACTAACCAGTGAACCAGCTAACCAGATGTAACATAAAGTTTTAGTTTCCAGAGCAATTTTCTTCTTTTCCTCTTTTAATGAGGCTAACGTTGGCTTCTTTTTCACTTTTCCAATCCACCTTACAGTGGCATGCAAAAGTTTGGGCACCCAAAAATTTCTTTACTGTGAATTGTTAAGCGAGTAGACGATGAACTGATGTCCAAAAGGCATAAAGTTAAAGATGAAACATTCTTTCCAACATTTTAGGCAAATGTAGAGTATTATTTTTATTTTGTACAATTTTAGAATGAAAAAGGGAATGGAGGACGATGCAAAAGTTTAGGCACCCTAAAAGTTTTGAACTCTCAGATAACTTTTACCAAGACCTCAGATCTCAATTAGAGTGTTAGGGCTATGGCTTGCTCACAGTCATCGTTAGGAAAGGGTAAGTGATGCAAATTTTAAAGCTTTATAAATACTCAGACTCCTCAAACCTTGTCCTAACAATCAGCAGCCATGGGCTCCTCTAAGCAGCTTCCTAGCACCCTGAAAATTAAAATAATTGATGCCCACAAAGCAGGAGCACGCTATAAGAAGATAACAAAGCGTTTTCAGGTAGCCATTTCTTCCGTTCGTAATGTAATTAAGTAATGGCATTTACCAGGAACGGTTGAGGTCAAGGTGAGGTCTGGAAAACCAAGAAAACTTTCCAAGATAACTGCTTATAGGATTGCTAGAATGAAAAAAACCCTGTTTGACTGCAAAAGACCTTTGGGGAGATTTAGCCACCTCGAAGTGGTAGTGCGCTGTTCTACTGTGCAGCAAAACCTGCACAAATATGACTTTCGTGAAAGAGTCATCAGAAGAAAACCTTTACTGTATGCTCACTGTAAATTTCATCATCAGAAGTTTGCAAAGGAACATCTAAA